AAAAAAAATGTAACATCAGAATACAGAAATTTGATTGAGTTTGGACTGTTACACATCCCTCAAGACAATACTTTAATTATGATTATCCTGCATTTTAGAAACTTATATGAAATTATATTAATTTATAATTGCATAAAATTAATTTATCTAATTCCAAAATGATCTAGAATTCATATATCATACCTAGATAATTTCTACTGGTATCGTGAACTTCGATGTGAGTAGCTCCAGCTGGAATGACTGCAATTTCTTGGTATCCTAAAACAGCAAAACATTAAGTAATTATTCTTTAAATAAAAAATTGATAAAAAGTTTTTCATTTCAGATAAATATACGAAGTTTAAAAAAAAAAATACATTTATGACGGGCCAAAAAAAAAAGAAATTACCTTCCTTCTTACTTCCAGGTTTACGATGAAATTGTTCCAAATAAATGTCTTTGTAATGAATGCAGGTGGAGTTATTACCTCCGCAAACTCCACATTTGTCGTAATTTGTATCCGAACCAACTTTTTTATCGCATCCAACTGGCTACATAAAAAGTGAAAAAAAAGAGGATAAAATCTTAATTTACGGTTTTAATATTTTACTCATAAACCTGATATGAAACCATAAATTTTTAAAAATTTATATATTAGAAATAAATATTTTCAAAATTAAAAACCTAATAAATTTCAATATATATTTTTAAGAAAATTAAAGAAAAATAAAACGATACAAAATAATTAAAATTATAAAAAATAATTTGAAAAACATCTAGTAGATGGCAGCATCGAACAGTGATAAAACCGTAATAAAATATTTTTTTATTAAAATAAATAAATAAATAAATATTCGTTAATAAACGTTATTCTAAATTATTGAAATATTATTTTATTTCGTATTTATTTATTAATATTTAAGTCAATATTATTAAATTACTTTTCCGATGATTCATTTTCTTCTCTCTAGAGGACACTCGTAACAGTTTATTTATATAATAATTAAAAATTTAGGGGTTAAGATTGACGTTTCTATACATCTTAATATAAAGAAAATCAGTTTAAAAATAGCGACTTGTCATTGTTACGATGCTTTATTTTAAAAAATGGTTCTTTAAATTCCGTAAGCGTAGGTTATAAAGTTTCATAATTGAATAGAATATAAAATTTTTTTCATTTAGTAGAGTGGCAAATATATATTTTATGCAGCACATAAAATACTTGTTAAGTCTAGATATACGAAAATTGTCTACATTATTTGTTTTAAAATATACGAAGGTGGACAAAATTGAGTGAAACCTTTATACGTGATCGCATTTAGAATTTATGAAGCATAAGTTGACCGATAAGGTGGATCCTAAATCAAAATTTTTGATTTAAAAAAGATAGTTTAGAGTGATGAATTTTCAGTCAGATGGGATTATTCTTTGCAAGAAGAACTGTTACAATGAATAGACCTACCAGACATCTTCCATTAACGCAGAGTTCTTCACCTCCTGGAAAACAGCGGGTTCCATCTATCACTTTACCGAAACTATAGGTAAGACTACGATCTTTTGCTTGACATCTCAATTCACAGGGATTTTCTCCTAGGACAAAACCACATATACTGATAATACTAATATTACTATGTGAATAGAATTCTAATTATTTAAATTCTAAAAAAAGAAATTGATAATTATTTTTATTATAGTTACAATAAATTATCCGAAAAGTATTTAAAATAACTTCTAAAGTCTTCAATTATAAAAGAAATTATATTTATTATTATGTTGGTTTTGCTTAAATTTTTATCCTATTTATTAAAAATTATATGTATTTTTTAATTAATATTAAATTAGCCGACAATTAGAAAACATGCAAGTAAGTAAACGCGAAGCATGAATAATCAAAAACACATACACAGATAAGATTTTATATATATATACACACACACACAGTGTAGTAAGGATATTTGATGTCATGAATATATATATAGATATATAGTTTGTATAATATCTATAAATCTGTCTTTATAGAAATGTTGTTCTCCCAAGAATAAGTTATTCTTATACTGTACTTGTATATAGTTTTGTATAAGTGTTTATGATTCTTAATTCTGAGATATTTTCAGTGAATTTCAGATGAAAGCGCATTCATTACTCTCATTGCGAAAGACTAAACGTTTGCATACATCAGCGATCGTAAATTAATTATGTATTTTGCACCATTTAGTCTATATGCTTGCTTCTATGTAATTTTCCTTTCCCAGCTGTTATATATAAACAGAGGGAAAGTATGGCAATCGGTCAGATTTTATATATATATAAATTATCGATAAGAACTGATATAATTGGAGAATAGTTGGCATAGACAAAACATTCTCTTATCAACACAATTTTCAACGAGTAAATTTTAATTGAATTTCCGTTAATTTTCAAATATCGGTTTAAATTATATGAAATGCTCTTTGGGTCATTCAAAAAAAAATGATATTTCTCTTTAATATTCCGATAATTACACGACATACGTAAAAATTTATCTCCGAAAATGATCTACATATTGATTTGTGGATTAGAATCGTTTCCTCGGAAAATTCAATGCTCCAGTGAATATCGGTAATGACTGTTTTGTGATATCTTTCTTCCAAAATTGTACATTTTCCCCTCTACAATTTAATTTGTAAAGTTTATCGGAAAAACATCAAAGTTAGTTTTGAAAACTATTATTTTAATGAAGTTTTCCTGTGTTCAGTATCTAATTTATAAACTAGATAGACCCTAAAATGNGCAATTATAATTATTATTATTATTAAATATTAATATAAAAAAGGTTTTAATAAAATATAACAAATGATGCCACACACAATTTTAACTTTTTTGCCTAGAAAGTTGCTGGATTTTTACATATAAAGCAAGCATTAATTTTATATTTGCATTGTCACTTTTGAGGCATAAATTTAGAAAACCAATAAAAATTTTCATGTAAATATATCTTTAAAAAAGTTTAAAAAAGTATATTTTATATAACGTGTTACATAAAAACTATGTACACGTTTTTATCACATCTAGATGTATTACTAGTGTTATCAGGATATAAGAAAAAAAGAACATTAAATGGTTCTATTTAAACGACAGACGTCATCTCACCCAACACTCCAAAATTGTTGAATATTCAATATCAAGTATAAAATTTAGTCGTATATTTCATTTTTTTTCCAGTATAATTTAATCCTCACGTTTTTAATTTTTGAGATAATTTATTACGTTACATCAGCACACTTTTTCGTTCCTACTAAAACTCAAATGAATGAACAAAGACATGAAAATTTTGGTTATTAACATTTCATTATATTGAATTCTTACTGAGATTACGTATATATATATTTTTTATTTTTGAAAATTGACTGTGTTTATAATTTCACAGAATTTGATAGGAATGAAGAAGCGAACAAGCAAACAATTAATTGAAGACGTGAGTGGATGAAGGCGTTATGTTACAGTTGTTCTGCATGGATGAAGGTGCAATATCTCTCACATACCACCGTTAAAGATCTCAGAAATTAAACAATATTGTAATATTCTATATGCGTGAATATGCTGTGTTTACACTGAAATAAATAATAAAAAGTTAATCAGTTCACTGAAAATTTTGATTTTGTTACATAATACTTTCATCCACTCGTGTCTTCAATTAATAGTTTAAAGTTCTAAATTATCATTCGCTTGTAAAATTACCGAAGTGTATCAAGATGAAAATATTAAACTTTTGCAAAAATTTTCCAAGAAATTAGTATTGATTTTTGATTATTTACTTAATAAAAGTTTAGTTTTATCAATCTTGTTACTGAAATTTTGTAAATTCGAAAATAAATAAATAAATAAAAGCCTCCCAAAAAAATAGAAATTGAATGGAAGATATTAAAATGAGATAAACTAATAATAAAAATAATAACAGAAAATCATTTAAAATAATTATAAATAGCTAACTAAATTGTAGTTAAAGATCTATACATTTTAGAAATTACTGAAATCAAATTTGGAAGATTTAATAATATATTCTTTAATAACGAAACGAAATTTAATATAAATTTACGAATTTCCCATAGAGAAATGATAGCAGTAAATGAATGTAGCTAGATGATGCTTGTCCGCTGGCGTTTTACTTTGACAAAGGAACCGCTTTGCTTGATAAGAAGGATCTAAAACTTAGGAATTCCCTATGGAAACTTAGAGGGATAAAGCAGTCTTTGAACAAAATTAAGAGGAGGACCTACTATAATTCTCTAATATTATCCAAAGTTAATAAGATCTGACTTACTGTTAGAGTATTAAATAATAACCGTAAATACAGATTATCTATAAGATCTATTTAAAACTTAATTATCTAACGCTATTACAGTACCGAATGGCGGCTTTTATTAATTGAATCGAGAAGAATTTAACAGATCTGTAAACCTATAACATCTTAATCTTATGAAAAGATAAAATATCGCATCTATGCAAAGACGAATGTATATTGTTAAATAATAGAGGATATAATTTATAAAGTAAAATGAGTATCCAAATAACGATGAAACTATATTTATTTAAAGATATTACTTTCTTGTATTGAATATATTTTAGTTTTTTTCTCGTCAATTTAAGTGTCATCACATCTTCCTCTATATTCAGAATCTGTATGTTTGCCTTGATTTTTGTTTTTGAGCCTTAAGACAAAAGCTTCTTATATAAATGAATTAAATAATTTGCTTTAAAACCATCACAAGATGTGATATATTACGAGAGATTCAATATAAAAAGAAATTTGAATAGTATTAATGTGTTTCCTCTTTCATAGTTTACCAGCAACACGGGAGTATTCTATGGTAATTCAATATTTACCTCCATACTGTGGTACCCATTGTATCATTTGGTCTGATATTCTTCGCTTGTTGTAAATAGAACATTGAAATTCCCTAAAGTCTGCCGTTCCGGAAGGACAATCCTAAATAGGTAAATATTCTACTGAATGAGACGAAAATAGCTTTGAAATGAATTATAAATAAAATTTCCTTACCTGAGAATTACAAATAATATATTCAGTAGTATCTCCGAGGCAAATTAGAGGCAAAGGTCGGTTGTAGCTTCCAAAACTTTGTTTAAAAATATCTTTATAAATATTTTGTAATTTAATTTCTAACGTTAAACATAATGACTAATTTAGTATAAGTTAATTTTAAACTCGCGAGGAACTTTTCACGACTCGAAAGTTTTGACCTTATGAAAATATTTACATGAAGTAGGAAAATTTATAGCTACGGCTTTATTTACCTTCTTGAGCATATTCTGCTGCGTTGTCTCACTCCACCTCCGCAGGTTCTAGTGCACAAAGACCATTCGGACCAATTTGACCAATGGCTGTATACTCGTCGGTTGGTGTCGCGTGATTTAATCGAATGCTTTGTCTGGATCAAAATTTGAAAAATTTCAACGTAATTAAGAATTTTCTTAAATTTCAAAAATATAAAATTCCGTTTGAAAAAATATTAAAAAAACATCTTACAAAGTAATTTAAAAGATTCGCAATCCGAAAAGAAATTTCCACTGTAAAATATATATGTCTTGAGATTTAAAAATCACAAACTATCGGAAAAAATCTTATCTAAAATGTAATTTTTCTCCGATAGATTTTTCTAGTAGATAGGAAAACTTAAAATCAATTATAGGCTATAGATAAAATTCAATCTCGTCTTTTATTCCCATTACATTTTTAAATAGAAAATGATAAAGATTCTTTAAGAGAGATTGGATTTAGTAATTTAAAAAAAAATTATATCGACAAGACAAATGTATTGATCTTAATGACAAGTCCATTGAGTTAATCCAAATCAAGACAGCAAGGCGATCAATTTTGTTCCAACCTACTCCATGTTGTCATAGGGATTATTGAGCACCACTAATTACTTTTTCTTGGGCGTTGAAATAACTACACCCTATATATACTTGTAAACACAGCCTGATTTTTCGGTCATGAAATAAGTTGAAGGTCAAAATGATAACGATCTTGGGTCATAAAGCCACTACAATATATAATGCTTTGTTTATTTAGTAAAATAATTTTCTCCTGAATTTAAATATTTATTTATTTATATTCTAAACATTGAAAACAACGCAATGTTTTATTGTAATTACAAGGATAATGTATTCTTAATACTATTAACAAACATTGAAAGTTGCGCTTTTTTTGTGTGTAAACATAGTTTTAGTTGAATATCGACCGTAGTTTCTTTAAATCTCTGGAGACACCGATCTTTATTGAACAAAGTTAATAGAGTCTTTTGTAGAATCTCTATAGGATTCTTTCACTTAACGTTATAAAATTTGATAGTAAAATTCGCTCAAGTTCAAAAGACACTTGCATATCTAAAAGGTATAATTTTAAATGATTATTCGCATGCTCGATCTTCTAAATAATACGATTCCTAAAGTACTCTCCATGATAACAACATTATTTTACATCATTATAAATTAAATTTAAGATTAAAATGATTTTAAATACAAATCTAGATCTATTACAATAAAATTTTTAATTCAAAATTATTATAAAATCTTTAGATTTTATTAGGGAATTATTGCTTTCTACTGTTTTGTTGATGGTGTAAGCGATTGGCATTACCTTATATATTCCAATAAAATAATATGCCTATTTATAAAAACAAAATAATGTATTTTAAATATATTTTTGGGGGGATTTTATATATGTTAATTTAGAAATGAATAACCGGAAAATCTTACAGATAAAAGATAATGTTTTAAACTAAAAATTAATATTGGTATTTACTTAAAAACTTTTTTTTAATATTTACAATTCTTGAATTGTAATTGAGGAATTTATGTCAGAAAAAAATAAATAAAGGTACGAATTATTCTTCTTTCCAAATCAAAAATTTGTTCATCGAAAAATCAACATTTTAATTAATTTTTCAATTAAGAATAATGACAAACGTTACTTCAGGCAGTTAACAAAGATAATATCAATGTCCTTTAGAAGAAGAATATTAAATTTGTTTTAAAATATTGGTAATATGTACTTAAATTAATTTTTAATTTTTTTTCTTTCTTCTAGAAAAAAAAAANTGGAAAAAGTTATTAAATTTTAATTCTAAAGAAAAATAAGCAAGGAAAAATATTTTAAAAAAAGGTTAATTTCTTATTAGAAAATAATTAATACTCTACTAGAAATTAAACTTCATTTTAGATTATTTTTAGAACAGCATTTCATAAAAGACAAAATATAAAGTTTCTATCTGTGTTAATTATCTAAAATGTATTGCTTTTAAATAATTCATCGCTCAATTAATCAACTGAATATATAATTAAATTTGTGATAGTCAGGTCGCATTGACAATTATCGGAAGTTAATTTGAATAATTAATTAGAAACCATATTGTGGGGTACCAACGATGAAACTAAATTAATCATTCTGGAGAAGTTTTCGAAAACCTCATTAAAAAAAAAATAATAATAAATATTGTTTAACAATAATTTATAATAAATTGCAATTTAATTTCGATAACAGTAAAATATTAAAATTAATTAATGCGAAGATAATTTTGCTTGTTAATTAATAAACTTTATTGTGTTAATTTCTAATTAATATCGTTTCGATATTAATAATATTTTTATATTTTTGTAAAGGAGTTTATGCATAATTATCTTTATGTAAAGTAGGATTTAAGGCAATAGAAACTTATCGTTTCTTACTTTATAAAAAGAATTTTTCATCCGCAGTTTCTCAATCTACTCATCGTGACTATAAATCGTAAATAGAAATTCTCTCGAAGATATTGTTCTTACAGAAGACGGAAACATAATAATGTTTGAATAAGAAAAAGAAAAGGAATTTAAAATTAACAGAAACTAAGATAGCATCGAGTCGTTGAGGATATGGCACGACTCGTCGAGTTAAAATAAATTGGATAGCTACTATTTTCTCCCCTTTTGCCTAAGGTTGTTTTTCTCTTTTTATTTTACATTCTATGTGTATTTTTAAGCTTTTATTCCATTCAAATAAGAAATATATATATATATATTGAAGACGTTTGTTTGGAATGCTGTCTGTTAGATATTTACATTCGAACTAATTACTTAGAAGTAGCAATAAAAAAAATTATTTTTTTTATCTATTACCTCTTAATACATCTTTTCGAATTATAAAATGTATAAAAGTTAACTTAAAGTAGATAAATTGCAGCAAATTATTTAACGTAAGTAAATCAAAAGATAAATATCTAAGAATTTCAACAGAAGAATTTCATAAATTTAATTTAAATGAACTAATTAAGGATTGGGTTAAACGACCACAAAAACATTTTAGAATGTATGTTATCTGCAGAAGGGTTCTAACATTTCAGAAATCTTGCTATCTATCTCTCTTTCTCTCTCTCCTCTTCAGCAGCATTCTATTGTCTAGACAAGTGTAGAGTGATTAGCTGAAATCCCATTATCTGACAAGGTCATTTAATAATTGTTTCGACGGAGTATATCGTAGTAACACCTTTTCTATTAAGAGATTAACCTTGAAGGAAAAAAAAAACTAGTTTCATAAAATTAAAAATTTTAGCACAAAAATTTGACATTTTAGAAGAATAAATATTACAATTATTATTATTTTTTTCTAGACATGTCTAGAAAATCTGTAAATCTTAATAAATAAATAACTTATCCGTGTAATTTTGTATTTAATTTGTTATACGAAATAAATCGATAATTTGAAAATTCAGACAGATTTCCGCTAATTTAGAAATTTTTTTAAAATTTATACAATGTCATTTCTTAATAAATTTTCTATCTTAAATATGTCCAAATCACGAAAAAGTAGGAATATTTGATATTACAACAACCATTAACCTTTCCAATTTCAAATTAGAACTGTACGATGCTATTAGGACAATAATTGTAGCACATTTACCGCACAAATTATGGTAATTGTAGCAAAATATTAGAATTCTTCCGATGTTTGCTACTATTATTATTAAAAAGAATCATTATGATACTTAAATTTTATGTTTTCCTATAAATGGACGGGAAGTCGATTTATATTACTGCAACTGGAGCAATAAAAAGATAAGAATTTCAATCAAGAATTATAACATAATTGGAATGAATATCAGAAAATAATAATAATAATAAAGTTAACTAATTAAATTAAAAATGAAAATTGTATTTAATATTTATATGAGGTAAAATAAATTATTCGTTTACAGTGTATATAAGGCTTTCAAAGCTTTAATGGAGACATTCAATTTGCAAATTCCATTATGGGTTTGTTAACATTTCCTGATGAGAAATTCTAAAGACATGGAATTGATTGAAAATACATTTTAATTAAGTCTATCTACTTGCCAATTTGATGAAATTTCATTTAATTGTAATAGTCAGTTGTAATTGTAATGGTGAACAAACCCATAGAGGGTTATAATTTATCACTAGCATTCTGACTAACAAGTAAGCTAAGTTTATATTGTATATTATTATTATTAAAATATAAATTTCTCTACAAATAATTTAAACTTTTTATTCTATAATAAGTTGACTAAAATCATACTAGATATAAAAAACTTATCCAATATTCGAAACTTTTCTGATAGAAGAATTATCTAAGCTTAGAAGCGTAAAATATCTTTCGTGTAGTGGTCAATTTTAAAATATTTGAAGGTTTTAGTTATGTAGTTAAAGTGTGGTTTGTAACGAGGTAAAACACTTCACGTAGTAGAATTCTCTTAAGACCAGATTCGTTCCCACTGGCTTTATAACTGTTGAGAATGATCTCAGTTTGGAGAATGATGCCTCACTCTTTCTTCGAGTGTGAATGGCATCGGATCGAACATCTACTCAACTGCTAGACCCATCAGAAAAGTTTGAAAAGCTCAAATTTCCTGAAAAGGCTAAAAGCATCGTTCGAAGAAGAACTATGTGAGAATTGCGAAAGTCAGAGTGAGAAAAGTATTTTATCTTCTAAAAGTCGTCTTCAGAGTCGTAGACTTAAATGATCCGAATAGTGTAGATAATTCTATTTTGACCTCGAAAAGCCTGTAATAAAAATATTTTATCTGTGCGCTATTGACAAAACAACAACTATTCGCTTTAAAAGAAAGAAAAAAAAACTTTTAATTATCCGCATTTTTAATAAAAGTTTTAAGCTTGACATTTCATTAATATTCAGCAGAGAATATAACGTATATCATAGAAAATGCAAGATTCAGAGTCGATTATAATCTTCTATAATAATATTTCATTCGTCTGATTAAAACTAATTGTTAAGCTTTCCTTTACATTAGAAACAATTTATATTTTTACTGTTAATATGATTAACAGGTCTTAATTTATTATTGATAACGCACTATATTTAGCCTGTGCAAAAACACTTTACAACATTACTTGAAACGTAGAAGTTATTCTTTCG